CTCAGGAACGAACCAAAGATGGGTTCGGAGCTGGGGCTGTCTCTGTTCTGTGACACCTGGAGCAGCGACAGCACAGGAGCAGGACCAGAGCTGGGCTTCACTTGTGACCCGCAGTTGCTGCACTTTAGGAAACTCCTCGCACTAAAAAGCAGGTTTCTGCTAGCCAGGAGTGGAAGGAATGGGCGCCCCATTTTTTTTGTCTACGTGCCAGGAAGCAAAGGTGCTCTTTTAATCACCGGACCTTTCTTTCCTCCTCAAAGTTTTTCCAGAGCTCTTGGCTAGAGGAGAGCTGATCCTGGTTTGAGTCACCAAGCCACAGCTCAGCAGCACATGAAACGCAGCAGTGCTAGGGATCATCCCAAAGATCCGTGGTATGAAAAATAACCCTGCCAGCACGATGAGTGCACCCTGCTCCCAGCTCTCTCAGAAACCATGGAATCATAGAGTCCCTCAGCTTGGAAGGGACTCCTAAAGATCACCGAGCCCAGCTCCCAGCTCCTAGCGGGACAAAATCCACCCGAAAACCCCGAGCAGGGCTGGGAGGCAGTCAGCTGTCAAATCCCCCCTTCCCTGGGGTTTGGCAGGGTGCCACAGCCACCCACGGGACACCTGCAGGGAGATTCCGGGGGGCTGTGGGGACCTTGCACGGCAGCGGGTGCAGCCCAGCCGGGACCCCTTCGCAGCCCTCGGCAGACCCCCAAAACCCCATCCCGCAGGTGAGGGGAGGATGCTGCTGGAGTCAGAAAGGCAGGACAGCCCACAGCGGGGCTGTCCATCACCCGGGGGTGCTTTGGAGGTATTGTAAGAGCCCCTCATCCCCCGTGCGGGCTGCCCGGTACTCACCTCGGCGGTGCGGAGCGGTGCGGGAGGGGCCCGATCCCACGGCAGGTGCCCGCTGCCCGCCGCTCCTGCTTTATATGCATCGCCCCGCGCGCTGATTGGCCAGGCCGCCTCCCGTCACGTGACCCACAACTCCCCAAAAACTCCTCAGACCCCCCCCCCAGACCCCCCGTTTCACCGGGGCTCCCCCCACGCGTGGGTGCGGGACCCCCGCTCATCCCCCGGGGAGGCTGCGGGGCGGGCGGGGGAGGGTTAGGGAAGGGATTGGGGTGCCGATAAGTCGTGGCGTGGGGTGCGGGTGGGGGAGGGGAGGGGGTGTCGGTGCCGCCCGTGGGTTCCAGCCCGGGGCGGGCATCGCGTGCGAAGAGGGCGGGATGTTTGGGCAAACCCGCACCGCCCCGGTCACTCCAGTCACGCTACCGGCAGGATCTTAAAGGCGCCGGTCCCGCGCCCCGCTGCTCCCCAGGACCCCCCCGGGGGCTGCCCCGATCGCCCCTAAACCCCGAGGGTTCCACAGACCCCTCCCGTGCCCCCCGCAGCCCCGGGACATCCGCGGTGTCGGGAGCCGCGGGGACGGCGGGAGCGTAGGAAAACCGCCCCGAGCGCTGCGGGTGCGCGCTGGGGGATTCGGTCCCCTCGGGGCTCCGCGAACACGTGTGGATGAGCGCAGACCGACCCGCTGTGCCGCTCCCGCCGCCGGTGCTCCCGGTAGAGCAGAGCGGCGGCCACCGGCCCCGTGCGTGTCCCCCCACGTCGCGCTGCGGGACCGCTCCGCAGGGACCCCGCGGGGACGTGGGTGGCGGGGCAGCCCCGGGGGTCACGGCCCTGGCTGGCCCGGCCCGGTTAAAGATTGTCCAGGTTCGCGTGAGAAGCCGCCGTGCCCTCTGTCACCTCTGTCACCTCTGTCCCGTGGGGACAGGGCGACCCGAGGGGCGAAGCGGGGCTGGGATGGGGCGCAGCCGGGGAGGATGTTCGGCGTCCGAAGGGGGGCTCAGGCAGAGTTTGCAGCCCCCAGCCCCGCTCCCCGCGGGGTGACAGGCCAGTCCTGCCCTGCAGGGAGGAAAAGGGGGACCAGCCCGCTCCCAAAATCGGTCGCCTCCGCTCTCATCCTTGTTCCCAGCCCAGCCGCTACGAGGTGGGAGACAGGCCAGGGGGTGCCGCCCCGCCGGGGGGTCCCAGAGGTGGCATTAGGGACATCGCGTGCGAAGGGGCTCCGGCCAGACCCGGGAGGGCCGTCCTGGTCACTCGCAGTCACGCTATGGGTGGGTGGGGGGGGAAATGGTTTTTAAAGGACCAGGGCGGTGCCCTCCCGGCCAGGAGCCTGGCCCGGGGTCAAGGCGGCGCCGGAGCAGCTCAGGATCAGCTCCCCCCACGGCTGGCTGCGGGCTGGGCAGCTTTTGGGGGGTCCCCAGCACTGGGGACAATCGTGGGTGTCAACAGCAGTGCCCTCTGCCACAGGGTGCTGCGTCACCTGCGAGGGGACGGCGGTGCCGCTGTCATTTGTGTCCCCTCGACGGGACACGGTGATCCACGGAGCCACGAGGGGAGCGCCACCTGAAATGTCCCCTCTTAGCGACACCGAGCGGGGCTGCTGGCCACAAGTGCCACAAACAAATGTCACAAATGTGCCCCAGGCTGGGGACACTGGCCGGGCTGTCCATAAAGCCCGGCCGGGGATGGCTCTGGCACCTCTTGCAGCACCGGGCACAGCGCTCGGTGCGTCCCTCCCGGTGTCCCCGCGTCCCTCCCGCGCGTGGGAGAGCGCCCACGCCGTGTCCCCGCACACCTGCGCAGGTGTGTCCCCGCACGGACACGCCGCACCCACGGAGCCGCGTCCGTGTGCGGGGACAGGCTCGGGGGTGCGAACACGCTCCGTGTCCCTCCTGCGTGGGCACATTCCCGTGCCACTCGTGCCTGTGGGCACCGTCACCCTGCCGCTCCCGCCTGTCCCTGCACGCACAGCCCGATCCCGCGGGGTGGTGACCCACGGAGGGGACAGCGACACCCGGCAGGGACACGGGGCTGGCAGCGTCCCCGCCGCTGTCCCAGGCAGCTGCGGGGATCCGCGGGCTCAGCGAGGGGCGGCAGCCGGGGCTGAGGGGGTTTTTGGGGTGTTTTTGGGGTGTTTTTGGGGTGTTTTTGGGGTGTGGGGATGCCTGGCACGCAAGGCAGCGCTCTCATCGGGAGGCACCGTGCCCTCGCAGGGCTTGGCAGCCGCCGGGAAGGGCTGGAAGAGGATCCTGGGGGACCTCTCCGGGACCCTCCCCAGCTTCTGCAGAGCTTTGGGATGTGACTGGTGAGGAGTGGGTGGGTTCAGCATCAGCACAAGGTCTGAAATGCTGCTGGGAGGGTGAGGGGGTCACCCAGTTTATTGCAAGTTATCTAAAAGATTTTCTTCTTGAGCTGCTGCGGTTTGCTCACGGCTCAGGCAGAGGCACACACACACCCTGACATCCTCTCTGACTCCCGACTGCTTCTCTCCCCACCCCTGGCCATATTTTTATATGGTACATTACGTGATAAATATTTACAGTTTTTTCTCCATACCTATTACTTACATTAAATTGTGTTTTTTTACTTTAAACTAATCTATGAGTGCTAACATTATTAAGAATATGGAGGTAAGGAAGAAGAAATAGGAGGAACAGGACTGGCTTATATTCTTCTGTTTTAAAACTTTTGACCCCCATGTACAAAGTAAAACCCCCCCCTGTACAGGTGTTAAAATCCCCCTGTACAGCACTAAAAATTTCTTCTTTTTACTTTGTGACAACTTCTACTGTAATATCTAAATTTTGTGACTTCTTGTTCTTCCTGCAAAGTTGGTTAATCGTTCCATGGTTCAAACCCAAAATCACAGCTGTTTCCAGCTGCCTGCCAGGGTCTCAAATGCTTCTGACCTGGACCAGGAACATCCAAAAATGTCTGAGGGACATTCTGAGTTCCACAAGAGGTGCTGGCGGGATCCAGCCGGCCCGACAAGCCCTGCTCCTGCAGCCTGCCTTCCCAAAAGCGTTCCCAAGGGTCCTGCCGGGGCCGGGAGGGCTGCGGCATTCCCGGGAATTATCAGCAGGAATATTAGCAGCCAGAGTTTTTTAACTGTTCTTGCCAAACATTAATGAACGGCGTCATTGCTATTAACGAGCCTGATTAGCCCAGCTGTTGAAAGCCTTTATTAAATATTAGCTCAGCTTTTTCCTGGGCCAAATTCCCCTTGGAATTTTCAAAGATTGAAGGAAACTTCGGGGCAAAACCCCAAGCTCTGGCTCATCCCAGCTGCACTTGCCAAACTCCTCTGAATTTTGCCCTGCCCGGAGAAGCAGCCCCGTTGGCTCGAGCACTTCTCTGGCTGGTGTCACCCAATATTTTGGAGGGATGAACTGCCCCAGCCTTGCCCCGTGCTGCCCCTTCACCTCTCCTATCTGCCGGGCTCACCTCCTCCCCTCTGCCCGCCACTCCTCCTCCTCCTCCTCCTCCTCCTCGCTGCCTGTTTGCCCCGGAGGGGCCGGGGGAAGCGAGCCAGCCGCCTTCTCACGCAAACCTGGCCAATCGTTAACCCGAGCCTGGCTCTGGCCCTGGCCCGGGTGATGCTGCCACCACCCTCCCGGGACAGGGAACCTGCCGGTGATTCCCCGGGATGGATGGGGAGGGCTGGGGATGCCTTGCCACAAAGGTGTCCCCTCGCTCACAGCCTGCAGGTCCCAGCGCCTCCAGAGTGGCCGTGGAGGTGACAGCCCTCTCTGGCTGCTGGGAGCAGCCTGGCCAGCCCAGAGCAGCTTTTTGGGGAAACGCTGGCACCTACATTCCATAGGCAAGCGATGCCAACAACGTGTCCTACATCCTCCCCAAGGCAGGGTTTAGGGTCCCCCTTGTTCCTCCCTGTCCTGGGGACCCCCTTCTGCCTCCCCACAGCAGGCTCCAGGGCCCTGGTCCAGGAGGAGAAGTCACCATCCATGCCCCAGAGCCTGTTGGAGGGCAGAAAGGCTCTTCCCTGCCTCCTTGGGCAGGCTCCAGCCAGGGTCGGCCCCGTTTGTTAATGGGTAGCCATTCCCAAGGGCTCTTGCAGATAAAAACCCAGCGGTGCAGTGAAGGGAGAGCTTAGATTTGCAGGTGGCAGGAGAAGAAGGACCAGGCAGAGGAGAACGAGGTGACAGGAGAAGAAGGTTGAGGAGACAGAGGAGGATTGCCCCTGCTCCTGGTGCCAATCCCTGCTGGGAGTATTGGGCAATAAAACCAACCAGGTAGGAGAGAGCCTGAGTGTTTGAGGGGAGGGTGAACATGGATGTAAGACCAGGAAGGTCATATCTGAGTGCTCCTGCTCACCCAGCGAGCTGTGTGTTCTCACTGAGCAGCCCTGTGGCATTCCCACATTGTGGCCAGCAGGTCCATCCTCCTGGCTGTAACTCCTGCTGGGTTTGGAGCTCCTGGGACCACATTCACAGAGGAGCTGCTGTTCCTCTCCTCCTGTTTCCCTGGGATTTGCTGAGCTGCACTTTTCCATGCCTTGCTTTACAACGTTGTCTGCCCTGGGCAGGAGCCACGGCTGTGCCAGTGGGGGTTGGGCTTTCTGTGGGGACAGGGGTGTCACTGAAGGCTCAGGCAGCTGAGGATGGGTGGGTGTGTTCGGAGCCTTCACAGGTCTGCAGCCTGTGCTGCCAGAAACCTCAGCGCTGCAGGGGCAGCTCCATCCCCCAAGCTGCTGCAGGGCTGTCACTCCTGTCCCTGTCTCTGTCAGGAACACCCCCAGGTGTCACAGAATAGAGGCAGCCCCAGCTTCGAACCCATCTTTGGTTCACTCCTGAGGGTTCTGCACACCAGTCTAAGGGTCTGCTGTGGGAAAAGGGGTGCCACAACGTCTCTGACGGGTTGAGGTCCCCCTTAAAGTACGGGTGGGTGCCTTTGGAGCCTTCACAGGTCTCCAGGATGTGCCGCTGGAACCCCCAGCGCTGCAGGGGCAGCTCCATCCCCCGATGGATGCCGCTCAAGGGCCGCCGCTCCGTGTCCCGGTGGGGAGCAGGGGCAGCGCTCAGCCGCCCGCCGCTCCCGGCTCCGGCCGTCACTGCTCTCCGCTCCTTTAGGGCTGCCCGGTCCCGGCGGCGATGCCGGGCGCTGCCGTGTGGCCGGCGGGGAGCCCCGGCGCGGTGTGGGCCAGCGAGGCGCTGCTGGCGGCCGCCGCCTTCTGCCTGCTGCTGCTGGCGCTGCAGCGGCTGCGGCCGCCCGGGGCCGTGCCCGAGGGGCTGCGGCGGCCGCCGGGCCCGCGGGGCTTCCCCGTGCTGGGGAACGTGCTGGAGCTGCGCCGGGACACGCACCTGGCGCTGACGCGGCTCGGCCGCCGCTACGGGGACGTGATGGAGGTGCGCATCGGCACCCGGCCCGTGCTGGTGCTCAGCGGGCTGGACACCATCAGGCAAGCCCTGGTCAGGCAAGGAGACGACTTCATGGGGCGCCCCGACCTCTACAGTTCCCGCTTTGTGGCGGACGGGCAGAGCCTGACGTTCAGCCCCGACTCCGGGGAGGTGTGGAAAGCGCGCAGGAAGCTGGCCCAGAGCGCCCTGAAGAGCTTCTCCATCGCCCCCAGCCCCACCTCGTCCTGCAGCTGCCTGCTGGAGGAGCACGTCTCCAAGGAGGCCGAGTACCTGGTCACCAAGTTCCTGCAGCTGATGGAGGAGGAGAAGAGTTTCGAGCCCTGCCGGTACCTGGTGGTGTCGGTGGCCAATGTCATCTGTGCCATTTGCTTTGGCAAGCGCTACGAGCACGAGGACCAGGAGCTGCTCAGGCTGGTGAATTCATCGGAGAAGTTCACTGACGTGGCTGCTGCTGGCAACCCCGCCGACTTCATCCCCCTGCTGCGCTACCTCCCCAGCCGCAGCATGAAGCTGTTCATCGATTTCAACAGGTACTTCGTCGGCTTCCTGCAGAGGAGGGTCAAGGAGCACTACGAGACCTACGACGAGGTAGGAGCTCACAGGATCCTCCCCTGCTCTCCTCCCCTCTCTACCAGCGAGGTGTTTGTGTTCTGGCCACAACAGCAGTGGCCATTGTCTCTCCCCAGTCCTCCTTCTCACAGAATCAGTGGACTCATGGAATGTCCTGAGTTGGCTCACACGTGGATCATCCGATCCAGCTCCTGGCCCTGCACACACACCCCAACAATGCCACCCTGTGCATCCCTGAGAGCGTTGTCCAAACTCTCCTGGAGCTCTGGCAGCCTTGGGGCCGTGCTGGTTCTCTGGGGAGCCTGGGCAGAGCCCCACCACCTTCTGGGGGAGGAACCTTTTCCTCTTGTCCCACCTGAACCTCCCCAGCCTCAGCTTTATGAGCCTCTCAGCGTCTCCTCCATTCCCTGTGTGGTGTGGCCAGTCTGGTGGTTGAACAGCTGCTCTGTGCTCGTGTTCCTCAGAGAACCCTCTCCTTGTTTGCACAGGGACACAGGAGCTGGGGGATGATGCACCCTGGGCTCCCCCAGCACAGGGTGGGGCTGCCCAGGAGCACCCACCCCTCTGCAGTCCTGCTCCACGACCTTGTCTCCTCTTCCTCTCAGAACAACATCCGGGACATCACGGACTCCCTCATTGAGCAGTGCCTGGACAAAAAACTGGGAACAAACACGGCCGCGCAGATCCCCAAGGAGAAGATCGTCAACCTCGTGAACGACCTCTTTGGAGCAGGTAACCCCACACCTTTCCTCAGCTGGGCAGATGCTCTCAGATTTTCTCAGTTCCTCCTTGTCCAGCAGCAGGCAGCTGGTTTGGGTCTAAGACTCACTCTCCTGCTCTCTGGACCTGCCAGGGACACCTCTAGAGACCAGTCTGGGCCCTCAGCTCTGGAAAAGTGAAGGGCATGTGTTAAACAGCTCAGCTGAACCTCACAATCCAGAGTGGTTTTTCCTGGCTGAGGGAGATGTCTGTGGGCTGATTCATCTTTCTGTGGAAATTCCCTCAATTCTGGAGAAGCTGTACAAACCTGACACAACTCAGGAGCGGGACAGGTTGAGAGAGCGGGATATTTTAGCAAAGGTTGTTAGGGCAGAATAAAGCCCCAAGGCTTGCTGTGTGTCCAGGATGTCCCCTGCAGCCTCCTCAGGCAGCCCAGACTGCCCTGTGCGATGGTCAGCCCTCAGAGCAGGGTGGCTGCTGTGCTGACCTCACCCACACCCCGTCCTCTTTGCCCAGGCTTCGACACCGTAACCACAGCCCTATCCTGGAGCCTCATGTACCTTGTGACAAACCCCAACATCCAGAAGAAGATCCACGAAGAGCTGGGTGAGTCCATGAACCACATGGGGGACCAAAATCTTTCTGCTCAGCCCTGATCCTGACCCTCTTCCTGATCCACCTCCCCCAGACCGGACCATCGGGCGGGAGAGGCGGCCGCGGCTGTCGGACCGGGGCACGCTGCCCTACACGGAAGCCTTTATCCTGGAGATGTTCCGGCATTCCTCCTTCCTGCCCTTCACCATCCCACACAGGTACGGGCTGGCTGGCACAGGGGCACGAGGCAGCCTTGAGGCACCGTGGTATGGCTTGTGGAGGACACAGCTGCCCCCACAAAACCGCCCCGTTGGTCACAGCCTTCAGGAGCAGCCTGACAGTCCCCTGAGGACACAGAAGAACCTTGCCCAGCTCTCCATCTTTTCTCTCCCCAGCACCACCAAGGACACGGTGTTGAACGGCTACTTCATCCCAAAGGATCGCTGCGTGTTCGTCAACCAGTGGCAAGTGAACCACGACGAGTGAGTACCTTGTGAGGCACAAACCCTCCTGTGGTGACAAGCAGGTCCTTTCCTGTGCTGGCAAACACGTCCCCTCCTGCAGTGACAAACAGGACCCCTCCCGTGGTGGAAAAACCATCAGGGATGTTCTTCCCAACAGTTTCCACCTTCCGGTGTCCCCCCGACACCCATGACCAGGAGAAAGCATCTCAACACTTGATGTTCTCCCTTCCAGGAAGCTTTGGAAGGACCCAGAAACCTTCAACCCCGAGCGTTTCCTCAGCGCTGACGGGACCAGAGTGAACAAAGAGGAAGGGGAGAAGGTGCTGGTGTTCGGCCTGGGGAGGAGGAGGTGCATCGGGGAGAACATTGCCAGGAGCCAGGTGTTCCTCTTCCTGGTCACGCTGCTCCAGCAGCTGGAGTTCAGCGTCTGCGAGGGCGGCAGGGTGGACATGACCCCGCTCTACGGACTGTCCCTGAAGCACAAGAGGTGTGAGCACTTCCAGGTCAGGCAGCGCTTCCCCGTGAAGGGCAGGAGCTGAGCGGTGGGGGCAGACATCTCCAGGGTGTCCTTGCAGCAGAGCTGGGTCTGGAATGACTTTGTGGGGTGATGGGATAAACTGAAATTGTCGGGACTTCTGTTTTATCTGCTTCGTTTTGTGGCAATTGTTGCCTGTTTTGTTTGCTGGTGTTTCTAGTATTGCATAGTTCATTAAATGTTGGCTATTCCACCACACCCAGTTTTGGACTGTATCCTTCGGGAGTTGCTCTCTGATGGATGCAGGACAGCCAACCCACACCATAACCCCACAGCCCCCATCGGTGTTTCAAAATGAGAACTATGGAATTGTTTAGGTTGGAAAAGGCTTTAATATCATCAAGGTCACCATTCATCCATGTCCTCACATGCCACAGGTTTTAAGACCCCCAGGGATGGTGACTCCACCACTGACCACCTTTATGGTGAAGAAATGTCCCAATATCTAAAACCTCCCCAGGTGCAACTTGATTGAGCCTTCATCTGCCTCCTCCACCACGGCTGGTGGTGGCCCTGGAGGACACAAGGGAGGACACAAGGAAGGACGTAAGGCAGGACACAAGGGAGGACACAAGGGAGGACACAAAGAAGGACACAAGGGAGGACACAAAGAAGGACACGAGGTAGAACACAAGGGAGGACACAAGGCAGGACACAAAGAAGGACACAAGGTAGAACACAAGGGAGGACACAAGGCAGGACACAAAGCAGGACACAAGGCAGGACACAAGAAAGGACACAGGGAAGGACACAAGGCAGGATACAAAGAAAGACACAAGGCAGGACACAAGGGAGGACACAAGGTAGAACACAAGGGAGGACACAAGGAAAGACACAAAGAAGGACACAAGGAAGGACACGAGGCAGGACACAGGCAGGACACAAGAAAGGACACAGGGAAGGATACAAGGAAGGACACTGCAGCCCTGGCTGCTGAGAAAACCGAACTGCTGCTGTTCCGGGCTGGAACAAAGGTGTTTTCACAGCAGGAAGAGAATGAAACCCAAGAATTGCTCCAGCTCAAACCCAAGAGTTTACATTGGCTGCCAGTCAGCCCGTGCCAGCAGAGCCAGATGCCTCCTTTTCCCCAGCTTTGCACGCAAAGCCACCTCAGCCAGCCCCAGCAGCTGGCAGCGATGACACGGGGACAAGCACAACCCCGCTGCAGCACGCTCCGTCCTGCAGCCATTCCAGGGGATCATTCTGCCCCCACAGCCCCAGACCCCGAGCACTGGGGCTCCAGCCAGAGCTGCTGCCATGTCCAAATGCCAATCACTCATCAGGCGTTGCACAAAAGCTTCCCAGAAGAGGCAGAGATGAAAGCGTGGTGGGGAAGAGAACGGGGAAGCCGATTGCCCAAGACTTCGGGGAGATCCTGGCTTGTCCAGACCCGCTAAACCAGCCTGGGGGAAAAGGAGTGACTCTGTGTGTCCAGGCCCTGCTTGGTCACCACTTTGTGGTGGAACCCCGAGGGGACACAGCCTCAGAGCCACTCAAATTCTTTGAGGCAGCACAGACGGCTGTTGGCATCACACCAGCTTTGTCTTCTTGTGATCCCAATATTGTAGGAAAAGCACTGGAGGGGAAGGTCCAAACCTGCTGCAGGCTACCAGGTATTGTTAATGCAGGTGAACCTAATGGGGAGAAATGACGATGTTTGACTTAATTCAGAAGGCTGAATTATTTCTTTATTATAACTATGCTAAAATATATTAATATGCTATATAAAAGGAGGATACTAAAACCACATATTACTTTCTTTGACTCTAACCCAACTTGTGACCCTCTCTAAGAGTCTAGACACAGGTGGATTGGATTGGCCATCAGGCTCAAACAATCCTCACCAGAATCTAATTAAGTACTCACTCCAGGTAAACAATTCTCTAAATACATTCTACATAGGAAAAACAAGGAGCAGAAATGGAAATTGTTTGCTCTTCCATTTTTCTCTGTGCACCTCTATGAAAAATCCAAAGAGATAAAGAAATGTGCTTGCCACAACCAGGGGCATTGGAAAAAAAGTGGAAGGATGTTTTAGGACAACCCATGAGGTTCATTAGGCAAATAACAGCTCCACCAACTACGACAAGGACACAGGTCAATGCACCAGAGTCCCAAACCCACTTCCCACAGATCAAGGCACCAAAATCCCAAACCCACTTCCCACAAGGGACATCCCACAGGTCAGTGCACCAAAATTCCAAACCCACTTCCCACAAGGGACATCCCACACATCAGTGCACCAAAATCCCAAACCCACTTCCCACAAGGGACACATCCCACAGATCAATGCACCAAAATCCCAAACCCACTTCCCATAAGGGACATCCCACAGATCACTGCACTAAAATCCCAAACCCACGTCCCATAAAGGACATCCCACAGATCAATGCACCAAAATCCCAGACCCACTTCCCACAAGGGACATCCCACAGGTCAGTGCACCAAAATCCCAAACTCACTTCCTATAAGGGACATCCCACAGATCAATGCACCAAAATCCCAAATCCACTTCCCATAAAGGACATCCCACAGGTCAGTGCACTGAAGTCCCAAACCCACTTCCCTTAAAGGACATCCCACAGATCAAGGCACCAAAATCCCAAACCCACTTCCCATAAGGGACATCCCACAGGTCAATTCACAAAAATCCCAAACCCACTTTCCACAGTGGACATCCCACAGATCAATGCACCAAAATTCCAAAACCACTTCCCATAATGGACATCCCACAGATTAATGCACCAAAATCCCAAACCCACTTCCCACAGTGGACATCCCACAGGTCAGTGCACCAAAATCCCAAACCCACTTCCCATAAGGGACATCCCACAGTCAGTGCACCAAAATCCCAAACCCACTTCCCATAAAGGACATCCCACAGATTAATGCACCAAAATCCCAAACCCATTTTCCATAAAGGACATCCCACAGAATAATGCACCAAAATCCCAAACCCACTTCCCATAAGGGACATCCCACACATCAGTGCACCAAAATCCCAAACCCACTTCCCATAAAGGACATCCTACACATCAATGCACCAAAATCCCAAACCCACTTCCCATAAAGGACATCCCACTGATCAGTGTACCAAAATCCCAAACCCACTTCCCACAAGGGACATCCCACAGATCAATGCACCAAAATCCCAAACCCACTTCCCACAAGGGACATCCCACAGATCAATGCACCAAAATCCCAAACCCACTTCCTATAAGGGACATCCCACAGGTCAATGCACCAAAATCCCAAACCCACTTCTCATAAGGGACATCCCACAGATCAATGCACCAAAATCCCAAACCCACTTCCCATAAAGGACATCCCACACATCAATGCACCAAAATCCCAAACCCACTTCCCACAAGGGACATGCCACAGGTCAACACACCAAAATATCAACACCACTTCCCATAAAGGACATCCCACAGATTAATGCACCAAAATCCCAAACCCACTTCCCCCAGGGGACATCCCACACATCAGTTCACCAAAATCCCAAACCCACTTCCCATAAGGGGCATCCCACAGATCAGTGCACCAAAATCCCAAACCCACTTCCTATAAGGGACATCCCACAGGTCAGTGCACCAAAATCCCAAACCCACTTCCCCCAGGGGACATCCCACAGGTCAACGCACCAAAATATCAAAACCACTTCCCATAAAGGACATCCCACAGATTAATGCACCAAAATCCCAAACCCACTTCCCATAAGGGGCATCCCACAGGTCAGTGCACTGAAGTCCCAAACCCACTTCCCATAAAGGACATCCCACAGATTAATGCAACAAAATCCCAAACCCACTTCCCATAAAGGACATCCCAAAGGTCAACGCACCAAAATCCCAAACCCACTTCCTATAAGGAACATCCCACAGATCAATGCACTAAAATCCCAAACCCACTTCCCATAAGGGACATCCCACAGTTCAATTCACAAAAATCCCAAACCCACTTCCCATAAAGGACATCCCACAGGTCAACGCACCAAAATCCCAAACCCACTTCCCATAAAGGACATCCCACAGATTAATGCACCAAAATCCCGAACCCATTTCCCATAAAGGACATCCCACAGGTCAACACACCAAAATATCAAAACCACTTCCCATAAAGGACATCCCACAGATTAATGCAACAAAATCCCAAACCCACTTCCCACAAGGGACATCCCAAAGGTCAACGCACCAAAATCCCCAACCCACTTCCTATAAGGGACATCCCACAGATCAATGCATCAAAATCCCAAACCCACTGTCCATAAGGGACATCCCACAGGTCAATTCACAAAAATCCCAAACCCACTTCCTATAAGGGACATCCCACAGATCAAGGCACTAAAATCCGAAGCCCACCTCCCGCAGGGGACATCCCACAAATGAAGGCACCAGAGTCCCAGACCCACTTCCCATAAAGGACATCCCACAGTTCAATTCACAAAAATCCCAAACACACTTCCCATAAGGGACATCCCACAGGTCAGTGCACTGAAGTCCCAAACACACTTCCCATAAAACACATCTCACAGATCAGTGTACCAAAATCCCAAACCCGCTTACCACAGGTCAATGCACCAAAATTCCAAACCCACTTCCCATAAGGGACATCCCACAGATCAATGCACCAAAATCCCAAACCCACTTCCCACAAGGGACATCCCACAGGTCAACGCACCAAAATCCCAAACCCACTTCCCATAAGGGACATCCCACAGATCAATGCATCAAAATCCCAAACCCACTGTCCATAAAGGACATCCCACAGGTCAACACACCAAAATATCAAAACCCCTTCCCATAAAGGACATCCCACAGATCAGTGCACCAAAATCCCAAACCCACCTCCCATAAGGGACATCCCACAGGTCAGTGCACCAAAATCCCAAACACACTTCCGATAAAGGACATCCCACAGATCAGTGCACCAAAATCCCAAACCCACTTCCCATAAAGGACATCCCACACATCAGTGCACCGAAATCCCAAACCCACTTCCCATAAAGGACATCCCACAGATCAATGCACCAAAATCCCAAACCCACTTCCTATAAGGGACATCCCACAGGTCAATGCACCAAAATCCCAAACCCACTTCCTATAAGGGACATCCCACAGGTCAACACACCAAAATATCAAAACCACTTCCCATAAAGGACATCCCACAGATTAATGCACAAAAATCCCAAACCCACT